CCGGTCTTAACCCGCGACCTGGTGGGGGGGCTATTTTTGCCCCCCCCCCCCTCCAGACTTTTCCATATATCTCCAGAACCGCTGCGCCGATCGTCACCAAACTTTCAGTACCCTCCCGGACATCAATTTTACACATTGTGACCAAAAATTTTTTCCAAAGGGTATGATGGGTTGGCCGGAAATGACGTCAGAGTGACGTCATGTTCTGCCGTTTTCGACCAAAAAAAGGGTTTCGTGGGAAGAGCTGTCAGGCCTATAGCTTTGCAAATACAGAAAAACGATAAAGACTTAAAAGGTTTAGAAGCATCAGGGCTACAAAACTGCAATCACGAAATTTTGAAATTTTTTCGATTTTGACCCTAAAAAATCAAAAAATAATTTTTTGGATAAAATAATCAAAAGATCCAAAAAGTTTTTTGAATTTTGCAAAAACCGGAATATATGTTATAGTCCTTACCGCCTTCCCTCCACATACCAAATTTGAGATTAATACCTCTTTTTTTGCCGAAGTTATAGCGAAAAAAACTGTTCAAAATTGATGACGTCAAATTTTCAAACTCAATTTTTAGCAATTCTAGACCCCGTAGCGCAAAACAAAGACCACCATTAGACTCCCCGTGACAAGTTGCATCGAATCAATACCCATTTTATGCAAAACTATCAACTTTAAAATTTGACCATTTTTGGCCTGACCTTGACCTGACCTTGACCTGAACTTCACCAGAAGGTGACCTAAGCCGTCCCTGATAGTCTTATAACCAACACCATAGAGTTGGAAATGAAAAATTGGCCATAAAACATGCACCACACAACCTTAGTAAAATTGGGCTTATGTGACCTCACCTGTGTCCCTTGGTGACCTGACCTGTGACCTGACCTGGTATAGTCAGTGACCTCTAATAGCAACATATCTACTAGGCAACTGACGCTTTTTCGCTGATTCTCGACAAAATGCGTTTTCCTCGGTGTTATAGCGCATTCCCTAGAAGACCCGTGAACGGTGGAACATTTCATCTTTGACCTGACCTGTGACGTCATCGGTGACCCCGAGGTCAATGAAATTTTGTTTTCTTCGACAAATTTGACAGGCCTTTCGAACGCTGTTTGAATTTTGCGGATCCGTCCAGTAGTTTCGGAGATTTCGGGTCGTGTTATAAACAGACCCCACCAGGGCGCGGGTGGGGTCTGACCCCACCCTCGCCGGACCTATTGGTTTTCTACATACGCGCCGGCCGAGGGGGGGGGGCGGGTACGACCCCCCTCGGCCGTTTCGCCCCTGGTGGAGCTAGCGCGTCGCGGAAAAAAAGACCGTGTGCGCCGTTACGAGACGCAGAGATTGGTACCCGATTTTAAGGTCCTAGGTCAACCGGTGACCTCTGAGGTCAGGTCAAGTGCCCCAAGGCACGGTTCCGTTTTTGGTGAATAACTTCGCAAAAAAAACGGCCGCAGCGCCGCGATTTTGGCAGCATCGTGTTCGCCTCGCTCAGGCGCGTCGAATGCTATACTTTTTGTCCGGGTCAGGTCAACTTGGGGTGTTGACCTCAGGTCAAGGTCAGGTCAGCACCCCCAGGTCACGAAGTTGGTCGAAAGAGGTTATGTCGCATATCATTCGATTCGGCAGGTCTTCCTGAGTCCATTGGTGGCTTTCCCCGACTCGCTAGCTCAATTTGATCAAGAGTTATTGACGAAAAACGAATATGACCTTGATGACGTCATAAATGACGTCACACAAGGTCAACATTGCAAAATTGACGCATCTAACCTTGCAAGGAGTGCATCAAATCACGATTCTGTGTGCTTGAGATAGTTGGAGATCGTTCCCGGTGCCAGAATAGCAGTTTTAATTTTCCCCATTAACTTCTAATGGTGAGGTCACGAAAATGACCTGACCTCATATGACCTTTAGGAAAAATCCGAGAAATACAAGTTGTGAGACTCATAATGAATACTAGATCCTGCAAGTTTCATTTCCCTGTGACATCTCCTCTGGCAGTGAGGGCGTTGCGAAGTTGCGACATCTGAAGACCATGCAGAGGTTCACTTATGACGTCATAGGTCAGTGACCTGACCTGACCCGAAAATGCGGTTGGCGTCAAAAGATCCGGCTTGAATCAAAGGTCAGGTATGCCAAGTTTCAGCTTTCTATCGCCAGCGTGTTCGGAGCTATCGCGAAAAAACCCTATGGGGGGGGCGGCACCTGCCCCCCCCCCCCCCCCCCTCGGCCGGCGAGGGTTAACCCGCGCCCCGTAGGGCTACCGGCGGACCCTACCACCAGTAGGAGGGGGCGTAAGATCTCGGAAATTTACAGTCCGATTTTCAAAATTCAAACGGCGTTCGATTGCCCCACCCGAGAACTACCTCGTGATCAAATTTCATTGACCTAGGTCAAACCGATGACGTCACAGGTCAGGTAAAAAATCGGATTTTCACCGTTCACAGGCATTTCAAGAAATGTGTTGTGAAATCGAGTAAATTGGTAATTTATTGAAAACAATCGATGGTACATTGTTCGTCAAACACATACTTCGCTACCTGAGGTCACTGATACCAGGTCAGGTCAAAGAGGTCAGGTCACTGGAGGGGTCACAATATGAAAATGTCGTGTGATACATGTTTTATGGTCCAGTTTACATGACAAATGCGATTATGTGGGTCAGGCAGCCTTTGGGGCCAGCTAAGGTCACGTTTTGGTGAAGGTCAGGTCAAGGTCAGGTCATTAAAGTCAAATTTCAAAATTGATATTTTCCATAAAATGGGTATCGATTCGATGCAGCTCGTCACGGGAAGTCCAATGGTGGTCTTTGTTTAGCCCTACGTGGCCTAGAATTGCCAAAAAATGAGTTTGAAAATTTGACGTCATCATTTATGAACAGTTTTTTCGCTATAACTTGGCCAAAAAACGAGATATCGATCTGAAATTTGGTATGTGGATAGAAGACGGTAATTGCTATCACATATATTCCGTTTGTGTTGAAACTCAATTTTTTTTGGATTTTTAGGCTATTATATCAAAAAATTTCATTTTTGATTTTTTGGAGACAAAACTCAAAAATTTAAAAATCTCAGATTGCAGTTTTGTAGCCCTTTCAATTTTTCACCTTTTATGTCTTGATCATTTTTCTGTATCTTCAAAGCTGTAGTCCTGACAGCTCTTCTCGCGAAGATCTTTTTTCGGTCGAAAATGGCAGAACATGATGTCATTCTGACGTCATTTGTGGCCAACCTATCATAGCCTCTGGAACATTTTTAGTCACAATGTGTAAAATTGATGCCCGGAGGAGTCCTGAAAGTTTGGTGGCGATATCTCCAGGAGTTTAGGAGATATGGACGGAAAAGGACAGGGGGGCGTTTCGGCCCCCCTACCGGGCCCTTGTTAACCCGCGCCCCGTTGGGCTCTGCCGAGCAACGCGCCCTGTTGGGGGGACAATTTGCATCCTCTATGATCTCGAGAACCACGCAACCTAGCGACAAGCGGCAAACGGTGTTGGATAGCCCTATCAGGGAACTACCTTGTGACCCAATTTTATTGACCTAGCTCAAACTGATGACGTCATAGGTCAGGTCAAAGGTCGAATTTTCACCATTTACAGGCATTTCAAGAAATGCGTTGTAAAATCGAGTAAAATGCATTTCATTGAAAATCATCGATAAGGAAATGTTCTTCAAACACATATTTTGCTATTTGAGGTCACTGATACCAGATCAGGTCACAGAGGTCAGGTCACAGGGGGATCACAATATGAAAGTGTCGTGTGATACATGTTTTTTGGTCCATTTTACATGAAAAATGCGATTATGTGGGTCAGGCAGCCTTAAGGGCCAGCTTAGGTCACGTTCTGGTCAAGGTCAGGCCAAGGTCAGGTCTAGTGATGTCAATTACGGAAAATCGGAATACCGATACCAAACCAAATATCAACCAAAACCACGGGAAAATACCGAAACCAAACCAACTTGGGAAAATGAGGGAAATACCAACTTTTTACCGATTTCTTAGCCTGTTATACATAAGTGAGGGTTTATGATACCAACAAAATACCAAACACATTACGATTGAAATACCAAATACAAAGTTGGTATCCGATTGACATCTCTAGTCAGGTCAAATTAGGTCAAATTCAAAGTTGATATTTTTGCATAAAATGGGTATCAAATCGATGCAGCTCGTCACGAAGAGTTCAATGGTGGTCTTTGTTTTTCCCTACGTGATCTAGAATCGCTAAAAATTAAGTTCAAACATTTGACGTCATCAATTTTGAACTGTTTTTTTTTTCGCTATAACTTGGCCAAAAAACGAGATATCGATCTGAAATTTGGTATGTATATAGGAGAGCGCATAAAATATCACATATATTCCGTTTTTCGAAATCCGGATTTTTTTGGATTTTTTTTAATCAATTTTTTGGAATTTGTGTGGGTCAAAAACCCAAAATTCTGAAAATCCGAGAGAGCAGTTTTGTAGCGCCGCTTTTTGTGTACTAGACCATATATAGAACTTTGAAATTGCTTGATAACTGTAGATTTGGTGAGCGTTTCAAGATTGCATGTTTTTTGCTCATTTTTGCTCGAACATGACCTCAGTTTGACCTCAATAACTCCTGACCTTATGTGACCTAAGACTTGAAATTTGGTGTGAAGGTGTCAAATTGATGCCTGGGAAGGTACTGATAATTTGGCGGCCGTTTTTTTTTTGCTATTCAGGAAAAACCACAAGGGGGGCCAAATTGGCCCTCCCCCAACGGGGCGAGGGTAAATTGTGATTTTTTTCCCTATATGTAGAAGACCCATTATCATTTTATTCGTTGACTATTCTGTTACGGAAAGTCACAATAATTTATGAAATTCACATCGTTTTGATTAAATACATATTCACTAAGACACGGAATTATCACAGCATTGTAGCCACAAACAGTTTGCACTTTGTGCTTCCTACACTTGTAAGTGTACCTACACTTATGTTTGAGCTAGGCAAATGCCTGACATTGGTTCAATCACCTTTCCAGCACAAATTACTACTATTCCAAGTCAACTTCGTGGTGCCATGATCAGGGTGGACTCAAAAACCATGATCGTTCCGGCCGGAGGCGGTATCAGCGAGCTGACTGGGCTGCGGATCTCAGGGGAGACTGTGGAGCGGATATCAATCACCGCTGCCGACCTCCCGCGACGGATAGGGTTTCTGCCGGAGGGCCTCAAGTGCCTCAATGTCAGAGGTGAGATACCACGGATCGATACATGTAATGCCGGTATAATGGACAATGCATATGGATATACAAATGGACAGGGAGACGGCAAATGGACGAACCGTTCGAATTCAGCCAACATCTTACAGCCTTGTTTGTGTTATATGGTATTATTAGAGTGATGCAATGTATGCATTTGCATATAGTGTGAGCATCAATTGCATGCATGAAATATTATTGTAGCAATTATTGTAATTTGAAATAGTTGGATTGCAACCACTATGAACCATATATTTATGTAGTTTACCAACCTGATCCGTTACTATACAGGGTGTCCCGAAATTGATGCGAGGTTGTTTTATCCTCAATAACTTATCAAGTGCTCGAATTTATTTCACGGCTTATGTGTTATCGTAATCCCCATTCAGTTGCATACACGGCCTATTGCACTCTAGCGTGTCACGTTTCAGGTTGTCAAGAGTCTCTCCTTTGAAACAACGCCATGCCGTTTATATCTTCTGAAACAGCCTCTTCTCTGAACTAGCCCTGGAAGCTTGCTGAGCTCTTTTCTGACGATTGTCCAGATAATTTGAATCGGGGACAGGTCCAGACTGTTGGCAGACCATGTCCCCATCTCCCAGAGGCCTGGGAGCCTCGCTCGGCACCAGTCCTGGGTCTTCCTGGCGTGATAAGCTGGAGTCCTTTCTTGCTGGAAAATGGCCCTGGACACGTCCGACAAAAGTTTGACTCTGGTTTTTGAACCATTTACCTTTTCCCTCAGCATCTTTGTGGCATCAGTCTTCTTCAGCACCTCGCTGACATAGTAATAAGCAGTCACGATCTGTTCCCGAGGCACCTCGTGAAGCTCAGAGCGCCTCTGTAGCTCACCATGCTCCAAAAGAGATTCTTCAGCAGACGTTTCACCGTCTCGACAGCGGACTCCTCGGAGCTGCCGTTGGCCCACATTTCGATCGTTCTGGCAGTTAGGGGCTTAGAGACCACAAAGGACACCTTGTCACTGAAAAGGACGCATCTCCAGTCCTGAATGGTCCAGTTTTTGTGGGTTTTGGCGAAATCCAGCTGCCTGCACTTCTGGACCACGGTAGGCCAAGTCTGCATCCTGAAGCTGAGCAGCTTCAGCTTCAAGATAGTCTTCAAATACTGATGGAGGGTCGATTTGGATGCTGGGATATACATCTCATTCAGTTTTCTTGTCAGCTGTGTTGAATGGTGCTTTTTAACCCTATTCCTGGCGGGCTCCGCCGGGACAAGAAACTGGCGGGGGGGGGGGGCCGATTCGGCCCCCCCTGAGATCTCGAGAACGAAGCAAGATAGCGACAAACGGTAAACGGCATCGGATACGCACGGTCAAGATCTACAATTTTTACAAAGGTCATTTTCAGGTCAGGTCAAAGATGACGTCACAGGGGTCGAAAAGTCAAAATGGCGGCGCTAGATATGGAGAGTTTTTCTCGAATAACATTCGAATTAGTCAAGATAGGAACAAACTAAGGGCATCATCGTGATCCTCTCGTCAATCCGCATCGAATGATATATATGTTGACCTCGCAAGGTCAAGGTCAAAGGTTGACCTCAGGTCACGTGACCTCGAGGTCATCATGTATATCATTCGATGCGTCTTGACAAGCTGAACACAATGAGACCATCCACGCGTCTGTATCTTGTTCCTGTACGGAGTTATTGGCCAAAAACCTTTGGTGACCTTTGATGACGTCACATGACCTCACAGCTGCTCAACAGCAAAACAGACCTCAAGGTAGTGAAGGTTGATCGTATATGAAATCATGTATGGTATATGGGGCCATTCCGACCCGTTTTAGTGGTAAAAACAGGGAGTTGATTTTTCCCCCATTGACTTATAATGGGGAGGTCGCGAAACTGACCTGACCTTAGGTCACCGATATCAAAATTCCGAGATATACAAATTGCACATACTGGTACCCTAACTAAAGCCTGAAGAGAAGAAATTGATCGGTCAAAAACTCTAGCTCTGGCGTGATTGCAAACTTTTCTGAGGTAGGGTCACCAAACCGCCTCTGGTGACCTTAACTGAGGTCAGATCCACCCAAAATTTTCAGACATGTTGCGTAGAAGCCTTATAGGAAAAGTCAGAAAAATTGAGCTTCCTAGCTCAACGCGTTTGGGAGAAATAACCAAAAAACCTCAGGGGGGGGCTCCTGTGGCCCCCCCGCCAGGAATAGGGTTAAACCTCGCCGGCACATGCCATTTTGCGTCCTTCGACGGCACAAGGGGGGGGGGGTTGGTACGAACCCCCCCCCCTCGCGTTTGGCCCCTGATCGAGCTAGAGCTTCGCAGAAAAACGAGCGTGTTGCCCGTCACGAGACGAAGCCGGTGATACCCAATTTTAAGGTCCTAGGTCATCGGGTGACCTTCCAGGTCAGGTCAATGACCCGAAAACCGGGAATATCGGGACCTGTTAGAAAGTCGTAAAGAGTGGCTGTTATGTGGTTTTCCGGGCCGCTGTTCACGAATATCGTGTCAGTTTTGATCAGAGATGATGTCTTTAAGCATTTAGGCCAGGTCGGGTCAGGTCAGGTCATGTCAGCCGGTAGGGGTTGTGACGGGTATTCGTAATACGTGTCAAGCGCCTCTGACAGCTTCGTAACATGCTACTAAGGCACCAAAACTACTTCGTAAATGTTCAAATGGTTGCTAAATTCGAATTCAGCTATAAAAACTAGCCTAGAAACATGTAAAACTCGAAAAAGTGAACCGAGGTCACCCGAGGTCACCAAAGGTCAATGACCTGACCTGACCTTCAGGTGACCTTGAAACCCACCCTAATGTATGGGAGCAACATCAAATCACATGTTTGAACGTTTGAAACCACGAAAAGCTTGCAAACGCGCGGATAATGCGAGCCGACATACGCCGAATCGCGATTCCGGCCAAACATGGTCTCGGAAAAGAGGTCACAGGTCAAAGGTCATTTGGGTCAGGGTCATGAAATTTTCAGGGTAGGTGTAAAATTGATTAATGCGAGGGTACTGAAAGTTTCGTCGCGATCGGGCGCTTTTTACGCGAGTTATTCGCGAAAAAACTTAGGGGGGGGGTTGCATCACCCCCCCCCCGTGCCGGCGAGGGTTAAAGGTCGACTTTGCAATCACGATTTTCGCCACTCGGCTGAAGGCAGTCTTCCGCCCTCGACCTGTGCTGTTCTTGAGTGTCGCTCCTGATCGTTTGCGGTCCATCCAAAGTTTAATTGTCGCAGAGTTGTCGCCCAATTCTCTGGCATCCGGAACCTGGGTCACACCGCCCTAGATCATCCCCACCGCGCGGTAGCGGATCGGTAGTTTGTGCCTTTTCACTTTTGGTGATATGCAGTTTCTCCACGTTGCCTGTCTGGACAAGAGTGTCCTCCCGCGCCCACTACCGGCCGCGGTCGGGTTAGTCGCTTGGTTCACGTGATCGTGTGACCAGCAAGATGTCAGTGGTGCCAGTGCCGGTAAAATTGCAGTTGTTCAGCACTCGGGGGGGACAACATAACATGCGGCACCAACCGCGCATCAATTTCGGGACACGCTGTACCTTGACTGGCTGCCTAGTGCCTAAACCAAACCAATGTGCCTTGCAAAAATCGTAATACTTATGTTGCTCATAGTTGAATATTTACGTATGTATGCTGTTGCTAAAAATATCGTTGTGCAGCCGCTCGGCTGTGCTAGTGCTGGCTGTGTCAGTGTCTGACACTCTGGTGTCAGTGGTGCAGCGGGGAGCTGGCGGCAGCTCTGTCCGACTGCAGTCAGCTGACACAGCTCTGTCCGACAGGGCCGGAGGTGACGGAGCCGAGGTGGCCGGAATGGGACGAGTATGGTCTGTCAGTGTCGCTCCAGGGGGTGGCTGCCGACACCATCAGTTACCTGACTGACCTGGGACGGAGGGTCACACGACTGGAGATATACGGTGAGCAGCGGCAGCACGGACAGGCCGCTGATATACGGGCTCAGGGAATGGCGGACACCGAGTTGAGGTGTGCCGTTGTCGCACCTGGAGAGGGGTGCGATACATAGCCAATGTGCTTTGCGATATAATGAAGCTAAATGTGCTCCAAAATGGAGGACTGTTCACTCAGTGACATATTCGTTCAGTTACTATGCTTTTCAGACCCCATGAGACCCTAATTTTCGGCGATAATTTATTTACTATTTGTTCAATTTGCTTCAAATTTTCACAATGCACATTTCAGCTCAAGCGCCAATTTTCGTCAATATGGTCTCTTAATAAAATATCAAATTTTAAGGTACTTGTCGTTGCCTCGTAATGTTAAAATCGGCTCCGTAAATCCGTCAGTGGAGTAGAGGCTATCCGTGCGTAGGTGTGACGTCACAACCACGTGACCATTAAGCTCCGCCCTCCCGGCGGACGGGATAGTGACCTTGGCCGGTCAGTCGGCTGCGTGGAGCGGGCGGGGCAGTAGCTGTCGCACCGGGGCGGCTCGCATGGACCGTAGCTGCCGTGCAGTGCAGTTGTCGTTGCAGCCGTAACTTCATCGAATGAGCTAAATAGCGCGCATAAGTAACGCACCAGCTGAAGCCCTCGACTAATTGTATCTATCACAAATGTTTTCTCTGTTCAGTCACAAAAAATATATATTTCCACACAAGATTCGGGGCTTGTGAAAAAACGCGTATAAAAGACGCTGTTGATTTCAAATGATTGCGTAAGATTATATATCGCGTCAGACTACGTCAAAATTGCAAAACAGAATCACCATTAACATGATGCAATTTATGTGTTTGATATATGAAATTTGTTTAGGAATGTATGCCGGCGTGATCGATTTATATCATCCCGGTGCAACTAAGCATTGAACACCTTCAGGACTAATCCATTTGATCATCGACTTAGGTTGAGGAGGTCGCCAGACTAACTTTGCCCCCAGAGCTTGTGTGTTGAAATGCAAACATGAAAAGTAAAAGCCTAGAGATAGTTTCCTCACCATTGAGGACATACCTACAGTTACTGAAGTTTTACAAAAAAAAAGATACGAGTTTATTGATTATCGTTCTCGTGTAGTGCCCAACGTCCGCCTGCCACATTGCTATTTCTTTTTGTGCACGTCTTAACAATATATGTAACACACACATGACACCGCGATAAAGGCCATTTCTACCATACGACACATTACGCTTCTGCCCCACCCGGCGCCCCGCACCGCTTCACGAATCACGAATACGGTCGTTTCGCTGGAGCGATGCCCCTGGCAATCGGCCGTGCCCGAGACTGTTCATCCTGCTTTGTTGCTTTCTGCGCCTTCCTCAGAAACATTTATTGGCACTGCCAAATATATCAATATTTTTGGGTCAAGCAGAGGCTTACACATGATCTTATAGGTAATCGGGTAGTGACCTGACCCAACCTGACGATGACATATAGGTGCAACTTCGGCTTAAATAAATGTTCAGAGTCCAAGAGTCTATCCATCTTTCCTTCTACGGCCGGTTCCGTTCCAATAGATCCTACCTTGATTCTGATCATTCTGAATATTCTGAGCTGGTTCGACGTTTAAATACCAAAATAAGGTGAAGAGGATACCAAATGCCCTCAAAGTTCAAACGGATAATTTTTTTTTTTTTTGGCTTTTGTCCCGAAACAACTTTGCCAGCTTCACTTGTCCCCAGTATGTGGTCCCGCTCCGACCTCTCCGCGGTGCTGACACCGACTGAAGCGGCATAGACCCATCGCGGTCACGGCCAGTGGGCGGAGTTTAGTTGGGCCCGGCGCAACGTGATTGGCCAGCGCTCCTATCCAATCCGGTGCGGTAGCGAGCGAGCCTCTATCCGGGTGCAAAAACTGATTAACATTACGAGCCAACGACAAGTGCTCTAAATTTTGATATTTTGTTAAGAGACCATATTGACAAAAATTGGCGCTTGAGCTGAAATATCGTCTGCCAAAATTTCAAGCTAATTGGACAAATATTGAAGAAATTATCGCCGAAAAGCAGGGTCTCATGGGGTCTGAAATGCATAGTAGTTGATCATACTAACAATTGTGTTGCACTGTTTAATGAAGTTCAATGCATTTCCTTAACTGATTGCATATATCATATAGTAGCACTGTTTTACCATTGTCTACTGTGTCCATAAAACCATGTGAGTTATTAGGTGTTGTTTCGTTTTGTCATATTGTAGCACGCTACATCTTGACCATCTAACGTAGTATCTTTTCGGCATGGCCGGCCGGGTGACGCGCAGCTGAGCAGAGCGCTGCCGCACGCTTCCCTCCCTTGTCATTATTCCCTCCCTCCTCCCACCAGTCCCCAGGACCGCCCTCCCCAATCATTTCTCACTGTCCGCACAGAATGGGCCGCCATTAAACTCCAATTAAGACAAGCACCTCTGAAGACAGTCACATTAGGATGAGTCATTGGTAGTCATTACAAAGCAGCTGAAGCTACAAGCAGACGTCGGCACTAGAGATGCCCCAAATTTGCAATTTCATTACCCGCCCCGCCCCGCAGCTACCCCTTGCCCAACCACAACTACCCGCAAGCTGATTTTGGCTGAGCCGAACCCGCAAAAAAAACCGCAATTTTAAAAACCTGTTTTTGCAAGAAAAAAAAACAGCTGGATCAATGCTAGAGCTATATAAACCTTACTTGCTTCATTGCTGTTCAGAAAAAAAGACAGCCAAACAAATAATAAGGACTTGAAATTGCTATGCTGTCCTCAGGAGGTGCACACTGGATAGTGCAAAATGAATAATGCAGCAATACATTTGAAATTCCTTTCTGAAAAGAGTTCAATAAAATTTTTTCTCTCACCTTACCCTTCAGCATTGGCTGAGGATCAAAATTTCACTCTGGCTCCCTCTCAATGTTAGGCTTCAGGAATGATATTAGTTATCAAAATGAATGTTGATATAAAAGATATGCGATTTCCATTTTCCAGTTAACCCTCGCACGACCAGGGTGCGCGAACAGTTAACTTTACAAGCTCACGGCCGGTAAAGTACCTACCCGAATGACTCGAATTACTCAATCAAATAACTTCGCACAAAGTTTCAATGATCAGCCGTCGAGCAAGAAAATTCACATCAGGGCTTACTGAGACGATTAACAATCAATTGAGCGCAGATAATACGCACAAATAGGTGCAAAATTTCACTCAAACGATCGCCTCTCGAATAGTCAACCCAACAGCGAAACCTATTACTCGAGCTTGTGATCCATTTACTGCTGCTCTTGCTGAAATTGTTTACCACTATTGTTGCGTGTCCCGTTGCTATGCGACAAATCAAGGTCGTGGCGGGTGAGACTAAATGCTTACTTCAAAATCTAAGCTGCGTTGCGGCATTGGCGGTTATGTGCGGCGTGTATGCCGCATGATTAGTAAGCGGCGACCACTAAATTAAAGACTCAAACGCTCCGACCGGTTTTCAATGAATAGCACTGCATACCAAAAATGCCAATCGCTCTCGTCATAAGATATTTAGATTTTAATAACTAAGTTATCTACATCATCATTTTGAACCAAATTCAACTTAATACCTTCATACCTTAAATACCTTCAACTTAACTCACTCATTCCTTCCTTCGTTGCCTCCAAACAGTCTTTCGATTGTCTGGAAATCGTATGCTAAATCCCGTACCTGTATGCGACTGGTGCATATAAAGGCCGATGTAAGAATTTGAATAGGCTCTCGCATGCGATTTCCTGGCTACCCAAAAAAGTATGTTTCAGTCATGCTACCAAAACATGGTATGTCAGCCCGGTCACCGGCTTATGGTGCTCTGCTTGTAGTGCCCCTGACCGTCACCGACTCTCTTCCCTCCTGAACCCTCGCCCGTATTGGTGTTTTTCCAGCCGCAAACGTATAAGGGGGGGGGGGGGGGTCCGTTGGACCCCTCCTTGCCATTTGGCCCCTGATCGAGCTAAAGCTTCGCAAAAAAACGAGCGTGTTGCCCGTGACGAAAGGAAGCCGATGATACCCAATTTTAACCCTCGCCGGCACAGGCCATTTTGCGTCCTTCGACGGCACGGGGGGGGGGGGATACGACCCCGGACCCCCTCGCGTTTGGCCCCTGATCGAGCTAGAGCTTCGCGGAAAAAAACGAGCGTGTTGCCCGTCACGAGAGGAAGCCGATGATATCCAATTTTAAGGTCCTAGGTCATCGGGTGACCTTCCAGGTCAGGTCAATGACCCGAGAATCGGGAAAATCGGGACCTGTTAGAAAGTCGTAAAGTGTGGCTGCCATGGGGTTTTCCGGGGTGCTGATCACGAACATCGTGTTAGTTTTGATCAGAGGTGATGTCTTTAAGCATTTAGACCAGGTCGGGTCAGATCAGGTCAGGTCAGGTCAACCGGTAGGGGTCGTGACGGGTATTCGTAATACGTGTCAACCGCTTCTGCAGCTTCGTAACATGTTACGAAGGCACCAAAACTACTTCGTAAATGTTCAAATGGTTGCTTAATTCGAAATCAGCTCTAAAAACTAGCCCAGAAACATGTAAAACTCGAAAAAGTGAACCGAGGTCACCAAAGGTCAATGACCTGACCTGACCTTCAGGTGACCTTGACATCCACCCTAATGCATGGGAGCAACATCAAATCACATGTTTGAACGTTTGAAACCACGAAAAGCTTGCAAACGCGCGGCTAATGCGAAACGACATACGCCGAATCGCGATTCCGGCCAAAAATGGTCTCGGAAAGTGGGTCACAGGTCAAAGGTCATTTGGGTCAGGGTCATGAAATTTTTAGGGTGGGTGTAAAATTGATCAATGCGAGGGTACTGAAAGTTTCGTCACGATCGGCCGCTTTTTACGCGAGTTATTCGCGAAAAACCTTAGGGGGGTTGCATCAACATCAAATCGACCCTGTGCCAGCAAGGGTTAAGTTGAATGTATTAATTTGGTTCAAAATAATGGTGTAGATAACCTAGTTATTCAAAGCTAAATATCTTATGACGAAAGCGGTTGGCATTTTTGGTATGCAGTGTTATTCATTGAAAACCGATCGGAGCGTTTGAGTCTTTTTTTTTAATATATACACAAAACAAACACACGGGAAAGAACGAAAGGTCTTTTTTTTCGGTTGAACGGTTTATTTTCGTGCCACACTGCAACATACATTGTTCCTCTCCAATGCGCAACAACACAACAAAGACGCCAAACACAGAACAATGACCCGTATCCTTCCATATTGGCGCTCTGACGGAGCGTTTGAGTCTTAAATTTAGTGGTCGCCGCTTACTAATCATGCGGCATACACGCCGCACATAATCGCCAATGCCGCAACGCAGCTTAGACATGGGTGTAACTTTGTATACTTTCGAGGTCCCATGTGGGACCCCAGTGCGAACATTTGGGACCCCAATTGTCATTTTGGGACCCCAATAGTGGAGGCCCCCGAGACGCACCAGCTACTTTACAAACGGAGGTCCGATGTTCATATAGAAGGTTCTCTGTATAAATAGGAGGGCCCTTGGACAATTCGGAGGCCCTGTTGGACAACTGGGAGGCTCCCTGGACAAATAGGAGGCCCCCTGAGCAAGTAGGAGGCCCCCTAAACAAGTAGGAGGCCCCATGGACAAGTATTGGACATAGGAGGCCCCCTCTGTACGAATAGGAGGCCCCCTGGGCCTGGACAAATAGGAGGCCCTAGACCTAGACAAACAGGAGGCCCCTTTCACAAAAGGAGGCCCCCTGGCCAATTAGGAGCCCCCTGGACAAACAGGAGGCCCCTTTCACAAAAGGAGGCCCCTGGACAATTAGGAGGCCCCCTGGACAAATAGGAGGCCCCCTGGACGAATAGAAGGCCCCTGGATAAATAGGAGGCCCTCTGAACAAGAAGGAGGCCCCCTGGATAAAGAGGAGGCCCCCTAAAAATAGGAGCCCTCTGGATAAATAGGAGGCTACTTTAACCAATAGGAGGCCCCCTGGACAAATAGGAGGCCCCCCTGAACAAGTAGGAGGCCCGCTGGACAAATAGGAGGGCTCTTGGGTAAATAGGAGGCCCCCTAGGAAAATAACAGCCGC